TATGCAAAGTGCATGTGAGATCTAGTTCTTTTCTTATATTGGTTTTGTGCAATTATTTTAATATTCCTTGCAAATATATATTTTTTTAAAAATATAACATGAAATGTAATTTAAATAAAATAGCTTTAACTCTAATTGTGCACTTATGAGTAAAAATTAATATTTACTTAGTGATAAAATAAATTTTTTTGGAGAATTAAAGGAAAATTTTAATAGAGTATGAGTCGGAGTCTCAGAAAAGTCTTGAAATAGAGTTAAGTACTTCAAATACCGACTCTACAGCTCCGTTTTGTAGACAAAAACTCAAAAATATTTTTTGCAAGAAGAAACCTTTTCTGCACTAATATTGATATGTACTTTTGTGAGCGAATACACACATTAAACCCTAAATAAACACTTGATAGTTACAAGCATTAAATCGTTGATTTAGTGATATATTAAAAACAGCTAGTTTTAAGTAATTTTTTCATATATAAGACTTTAAAAATAAATATTTATTTTAGGACGTGATGATAAGAGAAGTAATGGTAAAGAAGAAATCAAAATGACACTCTCTGCTCAAATTTCAAAATTCTAAAAGGAGAAAAATATGACAAATTTTATACTGTCGAACACAGATAATTCTAGTATCTTCCAGACTTACGATAACCTTTTCGGTATTTTTCTCTTTTACAAAATGGCATCATATTTGCCAGAAAGATGAAATAAATATTTAAAGAACAGCTTGATAACTTTTTTTTTATTCCCAAGGTGTATTCAGTATTTCGACAGGCGTCGACAAAATCATAGATTCTTGTGGTTTGGGGAAGGGAAAAAAATGCCAAAAAACATAGGAAAAAAGTTATGATGACTCTTGGTCTTATGAGCCTGCACATCTATATCTTTGCTCCAGGGAATCGTCTGCCAAAGAGGAAAATCGTTCAACTCTTCACTTTTCCAAAATGGTCGAAAGGAAAACGATAACGAACACTTGCATTCCAACTAGCTTTTAACAGTTTAGATGAAAATGCTTCTTCACGCCCCATTTCTTTTAGCTGTGTACATCTTTAAATGTCTTTTTATTTTCTGAATTATGATCTGATAGTTTAACTCAAATATAGTATTAATTCTTACAATCATAGAAAAGAAATGAAAAAAAAAGAGTATATTTTAGGATCGAAGAAAAGTTTTTTCTTGTCAGTTTCGAAAAAAAATTGCCAGTTTCTTCAACAAAGCTTTATGAATGTCTATAATATTTTTTAACATTCCACTTTAAAATCAAAGAAGGGAATTAAGATTATAATTTTAAGGAAAATATAGAATATTATAATAGGAAGACAAATTTAAAGTTCGAGATATCTTTATTGAAAATTTTTGAAATGACGGAGATAGGGAGTGTTTTGCTTATACAAAAGCGTTACATAAAACAAAGTAGAAAGCAGTTTGTTAAAGTATATTACTAACTAAAGTATATTAATAACTAAGTTCTTCGTACGGGGTGGAAAAAAGTAGGCAATCAATCGAACACCACTGCAAAATCCAGCACGAAACTAAAAGAAATATACCAACACAATTAATAAATCTGAGATAATTCCAATTTTTAAATTTATTATTTTATTTTATCCTTCCAGGTGACTTTACGTTATTATATTAAGCAAAATACGTTTTTAATAGATTATCCCATTAAAATAAAGGTTAGCTTTATTCAAAATTATTTGGCATAATGCTGTTGCTCGTTGCCAACTCATGATAGTTACTTAATTTTTTATAATCAAGCAATTTTCTCTGGTCATTATCCATTTAGAGTGATACAAAAACTCACAGAATTTAAATTAATGCTTCCCAGTATTGATGCTTTTTTAATTAATATCAAACATATTAATATAATAAATTTTACTTTGATGCCAATCAAAACTACACCAATTACCATAATACCAATCGCATCTATTATCAAAATAAATTGAGCATCATTAGCATCAGTAATAATATGACACTTTTTCCTGTTTCTCCTAAGCATATTAGCGCCATTTTCAAATCTTGCTTTATAGGCCTTAGAGTAACGAAATTATTTTTCTTTTTCAGTTAATACTTATTAATTAAAAAGTTGTTTCAGCATGACTGGTGTCAATAATAGTTTGGGTGATATTTTACGCTTCTCTAAAACGGATTAATACCAGTTCTTCATTAATATTGAATTCTCCTTAGCTTATTTTTGATTTCAATTACTAATTATTGCCGAATTTAACTAAGCATCAATAATAACATGGATACTTCTTACATTTTTTTTAAACAATTATTATAATTTCTCTAATAATTTTGTTTTACAGTACGTAGCATATTTTTGTTTAATTTGACTTAATACTTATTACCAGAGCCGCAGTGGCTCAGGAAATAGAGCTTTCACCTTCCATTGTGGCGACTGGGTTCGAATCCCAGCTACGACTAGTCGATATGAATTCCGCACCCGGTTTGCACCGATCACAGTGCTGACGTAAAATATCCTCAGTGGTAGATGGATCATGGGTCCCCATGCCGTAAGGCTAACCTTGGGAATTTTCAGTGATTTTTCTCTCCTTTTAAAGCAAATTCAGGTTAGTTCCATCAAAAAAAGTCCTCCACGAATGGAAATTTATCCCAATACTCGATCCAAGAGTGCCCTTGTCCTCTGCAGTGGGTTCAAAATTACAAAGCTACGGAGTTGAACATTAGTACATTGTGGAGTAAATCCAAAGATTAGATTGGCTGTTCAATAACGGCTGTAAAATACTTATTACCAAAGTTAATCTAGTATCATTGGCGTCTAAAATAATTTGTTTTTTTTTACCGTTTCTCTTAAACGAATCAGTGTCACTTCTCAATCACTTTTTTCTTTCCCATACACTTTTGAATTTTTCTTTTAGTTAGTAAGTATTATTAATATTATTTAAACCTTATTGGTGTCAATAATAATGTGGAGATTGTTCACGGTTCCTCTAAACAATAAGTATCGTTTCTCCTCAATTTCGCTTTTTGGAACATATCTTATTTTTTTATTTTTAATTAAAACCTATTACTAAATGTAATTAAATATCCTCGGAGTTAATAATAGTTTCTCTATTTCTTATGCTTCTCCTATATTAATTAGTATTAATTTTCCATTAATTTTGCTCTTCAATACATAATGTATTATTTTTATTTCAATTCTTGTTGATTATAAATTATTTAGTTTTATCGATTCACATTTTAAAAGCATAACTACAAACAGAATAAGCACGTGGTTTAAAATAACTTGGATAAGAATACTAACTTGGCGACGTAATAATAATGAATGCTAACTTGGAGACGTAATCCATCAGTGCTATCATGTTCCTATTGATCAAAGGCTGATCATTGTGTTTATCTGAAACAACAAATGAAAAATAATTCAATATTAAAAAAAGGGCAATAAAAAGCTTTTTTATTGAAAGTTACAGGGGGTGGACAAAATAATGAAAACACTTTTATACTATTATTATTTTTAAATATTTCTCAAGAATACTCGAATCATTTTATATCTTCAGAACTGTTTAGATCATGCAATTTCTCATACTTATCAATGAAGTTTAAAGTTGTCATAGGTTTAAGGGACCGAGTATTAATTACAAACGGAAAATAGTGTTTTTCACCACCTTATGTCAAAAAGAAATGTAGCAATACATTTGTAACTTGTAACAATTACTTTGGCTATTATATGCAATAATCGCAAAAAATTCCATATTAAACTTATCAAAATTCCTATATTAAATACTTATGAAGAAATGGACATTTTTACAATAAACTATTTTTTTTCGTCTTACTCTTTTTATTTATTTTTTGCTCAATAAATTCTATAAATTTATCAATAAATTTACGCATTCAATAAATTTAAAAAAATTTTTAGGAGCAAATTAAAATGAGTTACAAAATGTTTGCCTTAAATTAAAAAAAAAAAATCGACGAAAACTGCTTAATAGATAAGTAATTAAAGTAGTTATACTAAGCATACGCAGAAAAACTCATTTTTTTCTTGGTTTTTGCAGTGAATCGTATTTAGCACCTAATGAAACAAGTCCAATTTGAAAACTTTTAAAATTTAAAAAAGTTTCAGCAATTCAAATGGTTTTTGTCTTTTTCAATCGAAACTCAAAATGATAAGGGATTTTCTGCAAATAATATTTTGCATCATAAGACAGAATTAAATAAAAATGATAATACCTTACATTAAGCGTTTGTACACCGAAAGATTTTAAAATGAAAGAAAACATGCGAAATAAACGATACTCTTATGAAAGATCATGCCCCACAATACCGGTGTTATTTTTAAAAAATCTTGTTCAATTGTACAAGTAAAAGTTTTACGAAATTTTATTTGTAAATAAATTGATTTCGTCGAAACTTTTATTTTATCGGAAAGAAAAGAGTTACTAAGGAAAACAAATTACATACTTTTGCGCAGTTCGGCAATTATATTTATTTTTTATATCTATAAAAAGTTCCTTGCTTAATTTGGAATAAGATATGACGTAGGAAATATTATTAACTAAACTGTAAAGAAAAGATATTTTTTTAGAAAGTCATTCAACTAAGGCATAATCAATTAATTTCTTCCATATTTATGTAAGCATTTATGCGTTTTAGTGTAGAAGCAAGGCAGTGCCTGGAATTCATTTAGAATCATTTATTTTATTTACATTTGAGGGATCGATATTGATTATCAAAGCCAAGGCCACGATATGGCGTGATGCTCACGATCATTAGTTTAACGTGATCTACATAAAACCGAATGATTATGAATTAAAAAGAGATTGACTGTTATTGGCGTTAACCTGTGAAAGGTACGTTCAAAATAGAATTTTGTTTCGATTGTAACGAAACTTTGATTTACGAAATTCTATACTAAAGTGTCAATATAAATTTTAACTCATGTTTAATGAAATATAAATTTTTGTTTGAAAAATTTTGATTAAGAATGAAACAACAAAGAATTCAATATAAAATTGCTTTTGTCAATGGATAGTAAATTAAATAAGGTTTATAATAATAACAAATTAATTAAAGTGATAGCTATGTTTCATAGGGCTGTTTAGCTTTTTTTTCTGTTTCTGTGTTGAAGTTAAGAACGATCAGAGCTATTTTAAGAAAGAAATTTGCATTTGAAACCAAAAGAAAAATCACGTGACATGCTTCATTACTAGAAAAATATGGAATTTAAGATTTTTTTAAAAAAATCTCCTCAATACAAATCAACTTTTTACACTAAGAACAAATAAAATGAAAGTAAACATTTTAATCCACCATTTTTATATAGAGTAGAGAAAAATGAGAAACCTTTGAATGAATGTTGCATGCGGAAATAGTTTAAGATTGCCTTATTAGTCAGGTAACAGAGAACACGTTATGGTGAGATATTTATATAGGGAAATGACAAAAACAAATTTTTTTTTGTATACATTTCACAAACTGAAAAATTATGTTGTTATAAATTGCATCTTTATTAAATAAATGATGCTTCCCAGACAGTCGCCAATAGCCCATTGTGCAGCTCTTGTGCGACGCAAATGAAGTACAGCATGAAGAACTGAAGGAAAGTATGATAAAAATATGCAATTTATCAATGAATAAAAATGAAAAAGTAATTAGTGATAAAAATATGGATACATATATTCTTATTATTTAAAAACTATTTTTGAATCCCCTTGTTTTTCCTTGTCTGAAAGAGCAAAACAAAAGATATATTAAGACACTATTTTTAAAGTGAAATAAATCATTTAATACATTCTATATAACTCGTTATTGTTACTTTAAATAGTATAAAATTTATATGTGCATCAAGAGTTTAAATCTTAAGTTCTCTAAATGACTTGAAAGTTATTGATAGATTTATTGGTGTCAAATTCCGATCGTTTTTTAATATTTTTTAAAACCGTTTAAAGTGTTGCATCATTTCTCTTGTCGTTTGAAAAGAATTTTCCTGAAAAAGTTGGTTTAATCTCTCTTCATCAAACTCAAATGGACGCCTAGAGTGAGGTGAGTTTTTTGCGGTTAACATCTATGTTACCCTCTCCATACGCAGCGCAAATGTCACGAGCAGCTTTTATCTCAGAATCTTGATTTGAAGCACGAAAAAAAGTTTCGAAAATTATCATTCTTCTCAACTAGACATTCCATTTTAAAGATCGAAAAATTATTATAAACTTACTCAAGAAAAACACAGATTCTAGTATATCAAAACCAGTTTTTTGAATTTATCTTAAACATCATATTAAAAGCATTTAATGACATGCGTAAGATTAAAATCCTAAAAAGAGGTGAAAGTTGCTGCAATACTTGACTGTTAAACTTATACAAAAATTGCACCTTACGAGTCTAAATATTTTGAAAAGTTTACTAAAGTAAATTTAAAATAGAGAATACCCCATTTTACCCCTTCCCCCATTCTTCGGGTTCATTGAAACATATAATCTATCATTCCATCTTTAAGAAGCATATGGGGTAAGACGTCAAGTAAAGGATGGTTGGAAAAAAAATCGTTTTTCTTTCCACAAATATCCTAAATGATTTTTTGCTCTTAAAGGCCTTTTCATTAGAGACCGTGGAAGCATTTTTGCGAAGAAAAATGAAGTTTTAGCCCAAGCAAAGATGGTTTCTACGAAGAGGAAAATCGAATTCTTTCATATCTACTTCAATGGAAAAGAATATAGCATTTTCTTCATTTCTCACCACAAGATTCACATTTCTATCATAATCTAGGTCAAGGATAAATAAAAAAAAAGAATAACTTCTTTGTGGGAATATTTTCCATGTATAACGTTACTTACTGCCGAAAAAAGAAAAGTTATAAAGAGGAAAATGAGGATAACTCAATTTTAAAATATAAGTTACTTTTTTTTGTTTTTATCTTGAGGATTAGCACTTAATTTAGTATAAACTTTAACAAAGAATAAGTTTGAACTGCATTTTTTTTTAAAATATTCTATTGATATTTTATTTTGTTTTTAGTTATTTACATTATTGATATTTTATTTACTTTTCTCCATTGCAAAGGTTTATTTTTTTCGCTGCACATATTTTGTAAAATAACATTCCAACTCAAAGGTTCTCTGTTATTAAAGTAGGCAAAAATTGTTTCTTTTCAGTCAAGGGTAGGGCTGAAACTTCGCTTAATATTTCCGTTTGAGGCGTGATTTCATTTTTGGTGATACAAAATAGTTCTGGTTTCAAAATAAATGTTAATCTTTTATTTACGAAATTATTAAAAAATTATTAAAAATTAGCGATACTTATTTTGTCCCATTAAATAATAACTGTATCACGCTTTGGCAAGTATTTTTTATTAGTAAATTTTTTTTCTATTTCGTTCATAAAATTTTTAATTTTTGACTTTAAACAGTAGTTTAAAGTCAAAAGTACGTCAAACAGTAGTTACGTCAAACAGTAGTTTGACGTAAACTACAGACAGTAGTTTCGTATACTAACGTGTTTGTGGACGCTTAATATTGGTATTTATTGTGTTGATGAAATTTTACAGTTGTAAGAAGTCAGTTTGTGTTATACACTTAATTAAACTAAATAACTAATAGAAAATATAATATTATTTACATTTTATTAAATGAAATTTAGAAATATAGCTAAGATATCTGCCAAGTTTGGACATGCTCAGTGTGCATAAGAAAAGAATCAAAGAAGACTCAGAATTCATTGAAAAAGTTATAAGCAGAATTGGACAGCAAACAAGGCGATTACAATTCTTGTTTGATTAAATAATTTCTTAATTGTTATGTATCAATAATTACGCCAGGGGGTGCAAGCGCACCCTCTTGCCCCCCGCTGCCGGTGCCGTTAATCATTTGATTATAATCTGTGAAAATAGTTGACAGCCTTAAAGTCAGCAGAGATAGAACTGCAGTTGAAATTTGACTAGCTGAAAGGACTATTTTAAGTTATGAATTTTTCGAGAATGAAATTAAAACGGAAATATATATTTATCAGGAAAAAACTTTGTGAAAAGTTGCAACTTAGAAAAATAAGAAGAAAAAAAAGCTTCATTCTTATCATTAAAAATATTGCCGACTATTGTTGGAAGCTGGGGTATTAACTGAAGTTCGATAACACCAAATTTATTTCCCCCTGGTCACATCAGCTGTTCTTGATGCTCTGAAATCTTGTTTCATATATTCGAATGCGGATTTCCTCATTAACCCTTTACTTAAGGCTTACCATGTTGTACCCACACATGTGGTCCACATGTTGTACCAGCCGTAAGGAGATCAGTTCTGCACTAATCCTTCATTCCACTTAGAAGTATGTTCTAGACTGGTTTGTCCCCTTCAGCCATCGTCATTGACACTACCGTGGTTATTTATATTTTTTTGTTTCTGTCTT